TTTCCCTTGCCAGCATAAGTGGCTATAGTCTGTGACTGTTGTTAACTGTCAGTCTTGTTCTATTTCTCACTCTTTGTCTCTGGGCTTGGTTGGAGCCCTCATGGCATGTTTGAAATGTTTGAGATGGCATGTTTGAGATGACTCAACCTCATTTCCACTTCCATAGATACTGTGGACCCCACAGAAGCCTTCTGTGACTCCCATTCAGTACCTAGCTCCAATGCTCAGCTCTGCAGCTAACAGTTGAACTCCCTCTGCAGACTTACAACTACTTCAGGGTCTTGTTTATGCCACAGGATACAAACATGGTTCAGAATTGATGATTCTCAGAGCCTCCCTCTGCCTGACCATGCTGTTCCACCAGTTTGGGTTTGGCTGTGCCCCAGGCAAATGAAAGAACAGCCTGAGTGGTGGTCTGTTCCGAGTTCTCATGAGAGATGGGGGGCCAGGAGACCCCTTATACCTTTGTGCCATTATTCTCATTTATCCAGTGCACTTCCCTCCAGTGCACTTCCCTCCACATCAATGAGACTGTCTACGTCAATGAGACTCTGTCTGATTTAAGTCTACAGATGGGAAAATTGGGAAATGCATCGACTGTTTCTGCTTTCCTGCTTTACTTTTCCCTTATTTTCGTCTTCCCACAATGCCCCAGACTTCTTCCCTATCTTCCTACTCTCCATTCCAACTCTTGTTTAAGCCTTCATGGCAAAGGATATTTTCTCTACATGCTTGGAGAAATCTATGATCTGAGTCTTCCAGGTATGGTCATTGATATTCTAAAATCCTCAAGACTGAACTGGATAGCAAGGCTGTTGTCTTTCGGAAAAACCCTATTTTGCATTAGAAGGTGATATTACTTTGCTTTTTGGTTGCCATTTTTTTTCTAAAACAAATGTTGATCTCCCCTTGGGAAAATGGGTGGTTACACACACCGAAAAGGGAAAACTACTAATAATTTTGAATTGATTATGCCCTCCCTGTATACTTGGTTTGAGAGGTACACCAAATTACTCACTTGTCCAAAACTCCCACCATCTCAATTTAGCCTTGGGTATGAATTGCAGTCAATATAAAGGTCCTTTGAGGTAGGACCTTCTTGGTGAAGCTGCTTTTTTCTATTCTGTTTTGTGCCTTTTGTATTAAACTTTGGAAAACATACTCTGTTCTGCTTCCTTTTAATAATTATACCCTCCTGGTTCCTAATAGTTTTTTCTTATTTTTGAAAACCTTCTTTATTCACCTATTCCATGTTTGCATCCTTCTAATTCCTGAGTATATGCTTAGGCACAAATTTACTGCTTGCCTTGACTCCTACTGTTTTATATATGCCCAGCTGCTCCCTTGTTTTTGCTCCATTTCCTTGCTCTAACTCTCAGAACCTCGGTGTTTGAATATTGCAGATTATTCAGTATGTATTAGGATGCTTTTAGTAGGTTGTGCAAAACCCAACTCAAACCAGATCAGACAGTAAAAGTAATTTATTGGCTCATATTTATTTGAAAAGTCTGGCTTCAGGGAAGGATTGATATGGCAATGTCATCATACTTTTTACTGACTCTCAAACCTTCCTTTTATGGTGTTGGTTTCATGCTATACTGATAGTAGGCAGGCTGCCAACAGCAACCTGGGCTAGATGCTTCCTTACTTATGTCCAATAGTGGAAAAAGAATGTTTTTCCCCCAAACCCTTGAACAAAATCTCAGGCTTTAAGCTGTTTGGACAAACTCAAGTCACATGCCTCACACTGAACCAATCACTGTCTTTGAGAGTGGAGTGAGATTGTCCTTATTGTCTTAGGCCAATTAGATTCTACCCCTAGACCGGGAGGGAGGTTAATCTACTCAAACTGCATGGCTACTACACAATGAGAAATGGGAGAAGTGGATTCAGGGTGAGCTGGTGTCACCTCTTAAAGTTTGCATGAGATGAGCATGCTCATGTCTTCCCAACTCAATGTTCACTACTGACTTCACTTGGTAGCTTGAAGTCAACCATGGCAGGAGTATTTATGCCACAGAAATTGTCAAATATTACAAATCAGTTGTGTGGGCTTTTTTTTTGGTGGGGGGAGCTGGTTTACCAATACATCTCTGATAATGGGAGGCACTCAGTTTTATGTGTTAACAGGCAACAAACATTCTCTTAATTAGTTTTCCTAACTTCAGAATTGCACACCCCTACTTACCACTTTTTAAAAATAATGGCTTTACTGAGATTTTATTCACCTGCCATAAAATTCACCCTTTTAAAACATATAATTCAGTGATTTTTGGTGTATCTCCAGTGTCATACCATCATCACCACAGTCAATTTCAGTATATATTCATCACTCCCAAAAGAAACCCCATACCCACTGTGGTAGTTAGGTTTCTCTACAGAAACAAAACCAAAGCTGAAAACCCTGGAAAGCCAGTGATGTAATTCACTTCGAGTTTGAAGGCTTGAGAACCAGGAGTACCAAGGAGCAGGATAAGATTAACGTCTTAGCTTGAGCAATCAGGCAGGAAGGGGCCAATTCTTACTTTCTCTGCCTTTCTCTTCTATTCAGGCCCTCAACAGATTGGATGATGCCCACCCACATTGGGGAAGGCAAACTACTGAGTCCATCAATTTAAATGCTAATTTCATCTGGAAACACTTTCACAGACACAACCCACAAATAATGTTTAGCCACGTATCTTGGTGCCTCGTGATCCAGTCACACCCATTAATAGTCACTCCTCATTCCTTCCCTCCCACTATTCCCTGGCAAAACTACTTTCTGTCTCTGTGGACTTGCCCATTTTGGACATTTCATATAAGGAATCATACAATCTGTCTTTTGGCTTAGTTTCTTTCACCTCGCATAATGTTTTCAAGGTTCATCTATGCTATACAACTATCAGTATATATATCAGTTGTATGCTATACAACTATGATATACAACTATCAGTATTTTATTCCTTTTATTGCCAAATAATATTTCATCTTGTGAATAGACCACATTTTGTTTATACATCCATCAGTTAATGACATGTGAGTTGTTGAGATCCAGTTCTAATCATAGTTCTGGAATACGGTCCTTTTCACCTTCAGTCTTTAGCACCTTCTGCGGCTGGAATACTTTTCCTAAAACATCACGTTTATTCTTGTCACTCATCACATCAAAATATATTGTCCACTCTGTCTGGGAGATGCTAAAGGAAGGTGCTGACCTCGCATGTGAAGCTGTCCTCAGTTCCACTGCAAATGGGGTAGAAATCAGCAGATCCTGCTGCCTACTTAGAGGGCAGTTTGGCAAGCGATGCTCTAATCTCATTTAAAGGGCCTCTAGCTGACCAAAAACAAACAAACAAACCCCAAAGAAATAGACCCCCAACAACACAAAGCAAAAGCCCAAAACTATATAGAAAGTGATGTGGATATTATGTAGCTTTTGGATTTTATTGTTTATATATTTTATCTCTTAAATATTAAGAATTTCATGAGGGTGCTGGTGGGATAATGTGTCTTACAGGTAGATAGCTTGAAGCCCTGGCTGAATCAGTAGCATTCTTTAGATTCTCTCCTGAGAGTTTAAGCAAATGGTCTTATATGTGAAGTGGGAGTAATAATTCTTACTTCAGAGCCTGTTGTGGATTAAAAGTTATGAATACTCAACTACCGTGTTCAACCCATAATAGGCACTCAGTAAATAAATAGACACTATAATGATTATTATATGGTTAGAATTTTCATTTATTTTCAATAAAGCCAATCTAAGGTTAGAACTATTTTGGTGTTCTTTCATTGTTTTATAGTTTTGGTGATTTAATTTTAATATTGTCCTAGTGCTTTAAAATTAGTACCAGTTTGAAGCAGAAATTAGATAATCAGTGCAAGGGCTTTATGTTTCTTGTCTACCATTACCCTTGATATAATCTGAGAGAAACAATATTTCCTTTGGGAAATGGTCAATGATGGTGTCTTGTTTTATTACTATAGAAGCTTTTATGAAGTGGTCTAAGGATAAATACCTTAAATATTATACTGGGTTATACAGATATAAATTTATCATAGGAATGAATCTTCCAGCTTGGCATTTACTGGCAAGTATGACTTGATAGCAATTATTAAAAATATAACCCAAGATATTATTCTTTGGAATGATTATAACATATTAGTAAAAAAGATATTGAATGGTAGTTAAACTGTAATTGTTTTTGTCTTTTTGCAGATGGTCATACAACTTAAATGGTTCTTTATGCTGTATATTTATGGTTTAGAAAAATTCACATATATGATAATTTATAATTTTAATTTTATAAATAAAACAGCCATGAACTAGATTCTTCTTTCAGAATTAGAAGTACTTATAAATGCAATAGCCAAATACAAGAGGTGTTAGTAATTTGAGAGATTAAATTAATCAATTGTTTGAAAATTAACCTTTGACCATAATACAACTAACACATTAAAGATCAACTTTTGGAAACCACTCCTTTTTACATATTTTAGTCATTTAATATTATCTTTCTCCCTCCCCCCATAGGGTTATCCTTGTCAAGATGATGATTATTCAGTTGTCCACAGAAAATGCTGTTCTCAGTTCACAGATCTAAATGGTTCCAAAAGATTTGGCATCAACACCTGGCATGACGAGAGTGGGACTTATGCCAATTCATATGTAAAACGAAAACTCTACCCATTAACCAGTGGCCTTGTTCCCTTTTTAAAATACTGTATGGAATCAGATTCTATAACTAATGAAAGGTAATGGATGTAGCAGTTGATGATTTTCTATCCTAATAAATGCAGTGGAAATATTACGATAATAGATTCCTTTAACCCAAAATCTTATATTCTAGACCAGTATGTATATCTTTCTTTTTATAAGCTACTCTGGTATTTTCCAAAGTTTAGTATGTTTTTCACTGAAGATATATAACCCAATTCTAGATGGTACTTGGAGGAATTTTATTTTATGTTACTTTATTTTGTCTTATTTTATTGACTGGATTTATTTTAAATTTTATTAGGAAAAAATGCATAAAGCTAACACAATCAAGCTCATGATTGCTTAGGGTGTGTCTGATTTTAAAAAAGGAGATAACTTAAATTCCACTTTTGAGTGAATAAAAATTTAGGTGGTACTCAAATTCTACATGAAACTCAAATGGCTGAAGTTTGAGCAACACGGGCCCTATAATAATGTTGTGTGTGTGTGTGTGTGTGTGTGTGTGTGTGTGTGTGTGTGTGTGTTTGTGTGTGTGTTTATTGGGGAGGAGTGTGTCTGTTTATACACTTTAACATATCTATGGTGGCTAGCTGCTCTGTGGATTATCATTCAGCATAGTGTTTTTTCTTATACAATATAACACTTCTTATTTTATGAAGTAGCGGAGATGCAGACAGAATCGTAGTGAAACTTTAGGGGTTTAATGGAAAATCCAATCATCTAGTGTTAGATTTAGAATAAATCTTAACAGTTGTTTTGACTTGCACTCCCATTTTCCAGATGAGCAGAGACTCACAGAGGTTCAAGTAGCTTGCCTAGGGTTACATAAATAAATTCTAATTGATCTTTGAGGTACATTTGAACTTTTGTTTTTTCTGAGGATGGGTTTATTTATTTTGGCCTAGGTTAAATTTACTCTCATTGTTTTTCTTTAAAAAAGAAATTCACGAAATAGTATTTCATGATAAATGCTAATTTGATTAGCGAAATATGGGGAAAACTATAAGCCTTGTGAGTAGAGAAATGATAATAAAGAAAATATGGATATGCCAAGGAAGCATTCATCAGCAGAGTTTTACTATAATTTATAGCTGCTTTAAAGTGTGTCTGTACATATACACAAATATATATGTATAAATATGTATATTATATATAAATACGTAATGTTAATTCTTTTTTAAAAAAATTAATTTTATTATTTTTTTAACATCTTTATTGGAGTATAATTGCTTTACAATGGTGTGTTAGTTTCTGCTTTATAACAAAGTGAAGCAGTTATACATATACATATGTCCCCATATCTCTTCCCTCTTGCGTCTCCCTCCCTCCCGCCTTCCCTATTCTACCCCTCTAGGTGGTCACAAAGCACTTAGCTGATCTCCCTGTGCTATGCGGCTGCTTCCCACTAGCTATCTATTTTACATTTGGTAGTGTATATATGTACATGCCATCTTTATTGGAGTATAATTGCTTCACAATGGTGCATTAGTTTGTTAATTCTTTATATATTACCTATTCTAGGGGATACCTACCTAGGATTACCTTTCTTTCCACAGACTACAAATTCAAGTTTAATCACTCCGAACATTCATTAACATATCTAGGGTGGACAGATGTTTGAAGTATGCAAATCTGTGTGTCATGCTACTCATCATTTGATTTTTTTTTTTCCTTTTGGAAGGAGAAAAAGTCTTAATGGCCATATCATTACCTTTGAACAATGCCTTTTACTTAGAAAAAAATTCACCTACTTTAGCAGGAATTCTATATTGTCACAATGATTAACATTGCATTTTATATAAATGACCTGGGTCTGCCATGAGGGATCAATTTAGAAATCAGTTTTTGTTTGGTTAGAAGGAGAATGAAATTAGAGGGATTTTATTTAAACTAGTAGAATAAAATGATGCATTGAAAAAAATAGAGATTACCTATATCTTTCAGGTATGATTATTTTGTGTTGATTTGGATTTCTTTAGATAACTTCTTTAATGGTTCACCTCACCAGTATCAAAGACCATTTCAAACAATAAAAAGTGGAACTCAGATATGTTCATCGGAGAATGTCTTCCTTAGGAAATGACCACACTGACTTCTGATGGTTCCACATGTATACTTCATAGGATTCCACCTGAGACGCCAAAATAACACTGTATCTTGTGTGTTTATACAGTTAGCATTCTTATTTGGTCAATATTTTTCTTTTGGCCTTTATGTGTTATTATGTCAGAACTGTTGGTGTGAGCTCACTATGGCAGAATGCAGACTGCTGCTGGGAGAATGGGTAATTGGTTGGGCAAATCCCAAGTAGATGTATGGCAGTGGTGGTCCTTGATTAAATTTGGCCTGCAGATAAGTTTTATTTAGTCTTCAGAGTGTTTCTTTTTCATTAATCTTAAAATATTGAGCCAAATTTTATAGATTAGGACATCTTACTTTAAATTTTGAATTTTTATGTCCTTGGCACATTTGCAGATCTGGCAGCACTGGTCTGATTTTGATACAACAATCAGCAGGGATATGATAGGAGACCCTCTTTGGATGGGGGTGAGTTTATCATTTTGCTGTAATTCTCACCTGGTATACTTATTTATGGAGGCATTGTGACCCTTTACCTAAGGAGAGGTCAGACAAATATGAAATAACAAGTTGTAGAGGGAAGGGATTGGTAGAAAAATGGCAAAATTGGCAGCTTCTTGGTGACTGAGATTAGGACGATAAAGGCAGAAGCCACATCCTAATAGTAGAGACAGCAAATTTGGTTAAGTTCAAGTAGGCATCATGATCCTGGAGTATATGACGTAGAAAATAGAGATGGAGAGTGGGCCAAGCGCTTCACCTTAGAAATATAGAGTAATCTCAGATCCACTGGTTTATACTAGGAGTCCATTTGTGCTGAGGCAGGAAGTGAGGGTACCAGGCCCAACCCCTAGAATATGGAGCTGGCAGATGAAGACAAGAAGCAGGGCCCAGCCAGCTCACTGGTTTATTTACAGAGGAAAATCACCCCCTGGATTCCAGTGCTCCTTTTTCTAGAGGTACAGAGAAACTCCAGGTTCACCAAGACTCTAGGCAGAAATAGTGAAGTCCTTCCTATGGGACACAGAGTAGAGGTGGCAGGATGGCAGAGACAGAAGTGCCTGGCACTGCCACCATCAAGAATAGAGCAGCAGGGCTTCCCTGGTGGCGCAGTGGTTGAGAGTCCGCCTGCCGATGCAGGGGACGCGGG